GAATGGCCACATGGATGATGTACTTCAGTAGAATGGCAAAATGCTGTTGACAAACAGGGAAAGAAAAGTAAAATGCATCTGATAATCCTAAAAATGTTGATACAAATATTTATATTTATTTATGTGTATGACCTGTGTATTTTTCAAATAGCTCAGTATTCAATGCAAAATAATGAGATGGTTCAAATATCTCAGTATTCAATGCAAAATAACAAGATGATTTCATATAGTAATATAGTAAGATATTGATAATTTCAGAGTATTTGGGAGGCTGTTGTACAGTATGTTCTTCTCCAGCGCGGTGCTTCAGTAACATCGTTAGAAAACAACATTCAGGCAGTAAAAGTCTCCTTTTTTCAGGCCTCACTTCTTTATCAGGACAAAACAGAGCTGTAGGCTGTTTACCTTGTTCCAAAAATAGGCAGCCACAGAGTGCACATCTGACGGAGCAACAATAAAGTATGTTAAGGAAACGCACGGCGAGGCCTGAAATCCAAGTGCTTGTCCTTTTTATACAGATATTTATGTTAGTGATGCAGCGACACGGATCGTTTACGCTCCATCTAAACACACACTTACTTGTGCTTACAATATGCAGACACCCTACTGTAGCTACATCCAGTAACACCGGTTGACTTCCAACCAGAAGGTTGCTGGTTCTAGTCCCGCCTCCACTTGTCTGTAGTTTGTGTTGTTCCCAGACAAATGACAAATTTAAACTTAGAAAAGGGGACTCAACTTGAAACAGAGTCACATGCATTAGTTTTTATTGTTTTCAATTTATTTTAATTTACATTAGCTACATGATGTTTTATGTTATTATTCCCCTAGTGCTTGTTTAACCTTGAATTATTGCTGTTTCCTTTGTACATATTGTTCCTGTCTGACTACAGGGTGCTTTTAAAACTGCTATATAAATAATCCAAAATAGTCTCAATATACACATTATATTTTATTCTACATAGGTAAGATTTATGATACTATTGTTTCAGCTAATGAGCCACAGTAGCTCTTAAAAAAAAAACACCAAACAAACTTTTTAACTGGTTTATAATTTGTGTTGTGTGTCAGACGGAGGTTGATGATGAGCTGCTGTACCTCGAGGATCACGATGGAGATGATGGCCATCTCTGGACTCAGCCAGGGGAAGAGTCGCTGCAGCTGACCACACTGACCAATCAGGTAACAGTTTACGATGATGGCGATCAGACCCATCGCTTCCATCACAGTCTGAGGAAAACAGGAAGTCACGGGTAAACACAGCATCAAGGCAGAAAATAACACAGTGCTTTGACAGGAGTCGTCACGGACCTGCCACTGGCCGATGCTCTCCACTCTGAGACCAAAGGGCCTCTGCAGACCGGTGCAGAGCTTGAAGGCATCACTGCGGATCTCAATGATGTTGTTGATGAGCGCACACATGGCGGCCAGAGGGAAGGCTGAGGAGAAGAGCACCACGTATCCAAACTGGACAAACATCTCCTGGTAGTCCTGGAAGGTGTCCTGGGAGGGACAAACGATGGATAAATACTCCACAGATGACTCTGATTGAGCAGGTGTAAGTAAATATTTTTGGTTTTGTTGACTGGATCTGTGTGAAAAGGCACAAAATGACACTCCTGTGTTCTGTGTCTTTGTTAAATCTGGCTGTTCTTCGAGGTTCGTACTGTGAGCTGATGACAGTCTGCGTAACATTTCAGTAGAACTGAACGGATTCTGTCTTATCCTGGAGTGCTGATCTAAGCACAACACAAATTACAGCCACGTTTCCCAGGGTACGATAAAAGGTACTGGAGTTCTTTAGCACCGTCATACATCAGTTTTATAGCCCTGTCTTCAATTTCTGACTCCACCACAAACACATAAATGTCAAATTTATGGGAGACAGAAAAGTGTAAATAACTAAACGTGTTTTTTGGTAACGTCCGTAACGTCACCTGCTTCAATAGTTGACAACTTACAGCATACGTCTGCATGCAGCTCTCCATCTCAGCCTGAGCGAGGGTGTTGCTCTCCTTCTCCTCAGGTGGATCCATCCATGATTCTTTTTTAGACTTTGGCTCTAGTTTGTGTTGTTCCCAGACAAATTACAAATTTAAACTTAGAAAAGGGGACTCAACTTGAAATTGACTCTGCACAGAGTCACATGCATTAGTTTTTATTGTTTTCAATTTATTTTAATTTACATTAGCTACATGATGTTTTATGTTATTATTCCCCTAGTGCTTGTTTAACCTTGAATTATTGCTGTTTCCTTTGTACATATTGTTCCTGTCTGACTACAGGGTGCTTTTAAAACTGCTATATAAATAATCCAAAATAGTCTCAATATACACATTATATTTTATTCTACATAGGTAAGATTTATGATACTATTGTTTCAGCTAATGAGCCACAGTAGCTCTCAAAAAAACACCAAACAAACTTTTTAACTGGTTTATAATTTGTGTTGTGTGTCAGACGGAGGTTGATGATGAGCTGCTGTACCTCGAGGATCACGATGGAGATGATGGCCATCTCTGGACTCAGCCAGGGGAAGAGTCGCTGCAGCTGACCACACTGACCAATCAGGTAACAGTTTACGATGATGGCGATCAGACCCATCGCTTCCATCACAGTCTGAGGAAAACAGGAAGTCACGGGTAAACACAGCATCAAGGCAGAAAATAACACAGTGCTTTGACAGGAGTCGTCACGGACCTGCCACTGGCCGATGCTCTCCACTCTGAGACCAAAGGGCCTCTGCAGACCGGTGCAGAGCTTGAAGGCATCACTGCGGATCTCAATGATGTTGTTGATGAGCGCACACATGGCGGCCAGAGGGAAGGCTGAGGAGAAGAGCACCACGTATCCAAACTGGACAAACATCTCCTGGTAGTCCTGGAAGGTGTCCTGGGAGGGACAAACGATGGATAAATACTCCACAGATGACTCTGATTGAGCAGGTGTAAGTAAATATTTTTGGTTTTGTTGACTGGATCTGTGTGAAAAGGCACAAAATGACACTCCTGTGTTCTGTGTCTTTGTTAAATCTGGCTGTTCTTCGAGGTTCGTACTGTGAGCTGATGACAGTCTGCGTAACATTTCAGTAGAACTGAACGGATTCTGTCTTATCCTGGAGTGCTGATCTAAGCACAACACAAATTACAGCCACGTTTCCCAGGGTACGATAAAAGGTACTGGAGTTCTTTAGCACCGTCATACATCAGTTTTATAGCCCTGTCTTCAATTTCTGACTCCACCACAAACACATAAATGTCAAATTTATGGGAGACAGAAAAGTGTAAATAACTAAACGTGTTTTTTGGTAACGTCCATAACGTCACCTGCTTCAACAGTTGACAACTTACAGCATACGTCTGCATGCAGCTCTCCATCTCAGCCTGAGCGAGCGTGTTGCTCTCCTTCTCCTCAGGTGGATCCATCCATGATTCTTTTTTAGACTTTGGCTCCGACCTCTCTGTGTGTCTGCCTTTTCTCCTGTGTCTCGTTGACGTGCTGATCTCAGGCCCAGAGGCCACAGAAGGAGCACTGGCAGCAGCAGCAGCAGTGGCTGCAGCAGCAGCATTAACTCCCTCGACCAGACTCACACCTCCCATACCTGACTCCTTCACATCATGGATGCCGTTATCGTCATCATCATCGCACATCTCAAACATGGAGCCAGGGTCCATCCCCCTCTCCACCATTGTGGGGCTCCCCTCCTCCAGGAAGTTGTTGTCTATGGGTGGTCCACCACAGACTGGCCTCCTGTCCACCTTAATATCACAAAAAGTACTCGTATCAGTACTTATATCACTCGTTGGTACCATTTTTCATATTTGAAGCCAGAAACTCTCTGTACCTTCTCAATGAAACTGACTTTCCTCAGCTTCAGACCACAGTCAATCAGATTGTCCTCCTCCGTCTCCCCTTCACTGAACCTCCCACTGTCAACCTCGTCCTTGTCCCCTCCCTCTTCTTCCTCAGACACCCCACATCCACCGTTCAAACACTTCTTCTCCCTAAACGGATGTGAGGAGACCCAGTTATGTCAGACAAGATGCTCAGACTGATATAATCTCAAGTGTCCACCCACAGGAAAAACTCACTGACCTTCGCTCTGGTTGTCCCACCCCAGGCCGGCTGCCCCTCAGGCCTGGTCCGGGCATGGCCTGGTCGGTGGGAGATACTTGGGCTTTTCCAGCTGCCAGTCGAGCATATTTTAGCAGCACCGATTGCAGCAGGTCCCACACAGCTCGCAGTGTCAGATCGCCCAGTTTGTGGCGTTCGTACAGATAAGGCTGCAGCACCTCCTTCACGTTCTGAAGGAATTGACGAATGATGAGCAGAGTGGCCAGCATCTGGTTCAGTCAGAGAGAAACAACGCAGTCAGACGCTTCAGAAGAAGGGTTAACATTTTATCTTAATGCAATACACACACACTGCACATGCTGTCTTTACTCAGAAGTGCACGGCGTCAGACGGTGGTCTGATCAGGAACAGTATTATTCAGCGTATGAAAAATCTTAATAAGTCACTAGTTAGCACAGGTTACAGGATAAATGTGGCGAGCATTAGGAAAGAGAAATCCAAATCATTTTTTTCTGCTGTTTTTTTTTAAATGCAGCCTTTACATTTCAACAGTTACTAAAGCTGCTGAATGAAACAGAACTGCTGTAATATATAACTATGGAAATCAAGCCTGCATTATCACAAAACTCTCACAGGAGGAGTGAGCGTCCAAGTCCTGAGATCTGACTCTCCCCACAACTCACTCGGAGCCTAATTATGTTTATGTACAAGATGCAAACACAAACGCACAGCAGAGACGAGGACATGGACAGAATGTTATTTCACTCCATGAGGAAAAACCTTGAAAAACAGAGTGTGGTGCACATATTGTTTGCGCACTGCTGCCTCCCGGGACAGTCAGCCCAGCAATGTCATAGTTAGACACTCTAAATCAAGCTGACTGAACAGATGCTGTTATTGCAGACGATTTGCTGTTTTGAAATGTTAAAGTCGAATTGTTGTTGTTGTTTTTTTTCTCGTAACTTTTTCTCCTGTTTATTTGACAGGAGTACGAAGACAAATGGAGGACACTGGTCAGACATGGACAGACGTGGACAAGCTCAGTGAGATGGACACCAACATCAAAACCAAGACGTGAGTGGTATTTTCTATCAAAAACATCAGTCAGTGTGAGGATTTTATGCAAAGGAAACATTTAAAATAATGTATGGATGTGAAGCCAAATCAAACTTTTTAGAATTGTTTACTTTTTATTTTCATAATTAGAAGTAAACAATCTCTTTACTGACCATGATGCATTTCAAGTTTGCAAGTCGACACCAGACACACAATATGAACATGATGCTTTGTGCAAAGACACGATGCTAATTCGTCACCCAGACTGGGAACGTGATCATACTTTAGATTTGAGAAAAGTCCTGGAAAACCAGGGAACAGAGAACGTATTCATCTGGATCTTGTGGAGGAGTGAAGGCAGGACATTAACCCGAACCTGTCGCTGCAGACTCCTTAACAGAGACAACACCACCAGCATCTTCCACAGACAGACAGACAGATGGAGGGGTGTGAAGGGATGGTTACAGAAATCATTACCCAGAAGCAGAAAGTTAAAAAGTAAAGTAGTAAAAAGAAGATGAGATTGGAGGAACACATGACAGAAACACAAACAGAAACAGAGGAGGTTTTTTTTCTTTCTTTTTCTCACCTCTTTCAAGCGCTCCATGTCTTTGAGGTAGAATCCAATGTAAAAAAGGCTGAGATAAGAATTTACAAACTGAAACTGCAGAGGAAAGAATAGAGAAATAAATGTTTGGAATGTGCAAAGAAATATCAAATCAACATTAGAATTTTAAAGTCTAATTTAAAATTAATTTAAAGTCTAGTTGCCGTGTAATAAAAGGCTACTCACAAGAACCATTTTGATGATGAGATTTTTCTCATAGGCACTCTGGAGTCTATAGTTCTCTGTGGAAACACAATATGAAACCTCTGTTATTTCAAACAAATAAGCAAAAAAAAGGTTAGACACAATACACTTTACTGTAAGGTGACTTTTATAAAATAGAGAAACCCTTGCTTTTTTCTACACAGAACTGCCCACTGATGTGGAAAATCTGTTAATGTTGCATAACACTTAAGGACATTTTTAGCATTTTAGCTTTAGCTTCTTTCAGTGTTCTGCATCCAAACACAACAATGAGGCGACATTAATCCTCAAACAACAGAGATGTGTGTAAAGGTTCATCTTTTAATGTTGGAATGATACTGTGCTCTAAAGGTGGATGTATATTCACAACCTTGACTCTCACCCATGTCATTGAGCCAGCAGGCAATTTTCCTGTACACCTCGTCACATGCACTCACAGTGATAGCTAGCATAATTTTGGGGATGAAGCGGGCTAGCCGAGGCATTTCCTTGATCCCCATCACAAATTCCTGCACAGACACAAACACAACACTGAGACCGTGAGACTAATCCTTTTAATGTTCTGAATCTGACAGACATTTCTAATGGAAAATGATTGATTTTCATTTCTCTGCGTTATCACATTAGCTTCCAGTCATATCTCTGTGCATTTTACAGTACTATTACACAGCAATCAAAGTAATGGGTCGAATAACAGCCTCGCTGCATCATGACAAGCATCCTGAAAACAAAAAGTGCAGCAGCACTGAATGATGACTGATGCAGGGAATCCTATAACACAGATGCAGACAGCTGACTGACCTGCAGCTCGAAACAGATGAGCATGACCAGGAAGACAAAACAGAGACACAGGATACAGATGGGCAGGCTGACCAGCCACCTGAAAACACGCCTCCGCCACGGAGGATAGTAGAACTCCTCGCATCCTGTGATAGGACTACAGCGCTTGACTCCCTACAGAGAGATGGAGTAGGAGACGGTGTGACAGAGCCTGATAAAGGAGGTGAATGAAGCGGTGGACAGGTGGACGGAAGGATTAGCTCGACTCACCCGGAACTGAGGCCGTGGTTCCTCCAGGGATTCAGCCGGCGTGTCCAGTGTCCCCCATTTATACGCCAGCTCAGCTCCTCTCCTCTTCCACCGCTCCAGAAACAGTGTGGCCCACACCACGTTGAAGAGTGCAAACACCACGCAGCAGATGTCACGGCTGGTCTGAGACGACCCAGAATCACAAACACACCCAAAACAGATGCCTCAGATTTAGCTTTGTCCTGTTGTATATTTTTTCACAGATACCTGATACTTCTTTAGGTTGGTTTTCAATAACTATACAATGAACTGGAAGGCAGTGTTATACAGGGAGCACAGGTCCACGGGAATTGGTGATTGTATTATGTGGTTTTTTTTAGCACAGGTCCACGGGAATTGGTGATTGGCATTACGTGGTTTTATATTAAACTGACACTGTCGTCACATCAGACAGTATGTCAAGCAAAACATGTATATTAGACCAGCGGTTCTCAAACTGTGGTGCGTGTACCACAAGTGGTACATGGGGAAAATTCACATTTTCACATTTACATTTTCTATTGAATAAATCTGAACCATACCATGCACAATTAATACAACATTTGAACATAAACATCTTTATAAACATCTCTCCTGTGGTGGAAGCTAACAGTGAAGGCCTACGCTGCTATATTCTAATGTTGGTCATCATGGTGGTACTCAGAGAGATCAATGTTTTCTCAGGTGGTACAGAGGATAAAAAGTTTGAGGACCACTGTATTAGACCATTGCAGGCTCTGCCCTCACCTGATCAGACTCAGTGAGCATCCAAAGCACGAAGCCGATCACAGCAGGATACAACATAGAAGTGGTGTAGAAACCCAACCAGGCGAAATACATGGCAATCTTCACCCCAAAGTAGTCACATATATCATCTGCAAACACCAAATAACAAAAATAAACCTTACTGGATTCAAACACTTCATGTACTTTAATTGTTGTTATACTGACCTAAGGGTTGTTTCTCACAAACAGCCTGCACCCAGGACTTCATCAGCTGACTGAGGATCCTCTGTTCATGGAGAGGAAACAGCTGCCGGATGACACCTCGTGCACTCAACTCTGCGACTGCAGGCGGCAACAAGGTAAGAATGTTTTTTTGTCAACATTATATTTGTTAAAAAGGGTCTCTTAATAAATATAAGCAACGCACTGATTGGCTGGCCCTCCATGAAGTTGATGTTATGAAGGACGTCCCCATTTTTGGCACGGAGATTGTCCAACCAGTATTTAATAATGCTCTGCCTCTCCTGCCGAGAACAGAGGACAGAGTTAGGTGTAGAAGAGAGTGAACAAGTTTCCTTTCGAGTGTGTTCTTTGTGACTCTGACCTGTGAGGTGAAAAAGCACAACTCGCTCTCGATGTTTTCGTAAATGTAGTCCTCCTCACAGGAGAAGCTCCTCGTTCCTCCTCCAAACTCGGGTTTCACCGGTTTCCTCAGTCCCATCTCCTCAGCTCCTCGCAGCAAACTGCAGGAGGAGGAAAACAAAAGGTCATCCTTCTGTGGTGTTCAGGTCTTTACACCTGTCTTTGACTTCTCATGCTTAACTGTACATAAAAATGTGGTTACTAGGTCAGCGTATAACCTCCGATACTCTTCAAAGTCACCTTTCATTTTGTGCGGTTTTGTGAACCAGACGTTTTCGCAGCTGGACCAGACAGTGTCCTCAGGCCCCAGTTTGAGAACACAAACTTAACGGGGTTACAGATTTCCTCTTTACAACAACACCTTTTTTTCTTCTTCTCAACAATAATTTTTTCACATGTCCTCTTGTACAGCCTTGTCTCCTCTCTCCTATCATCCTGTTTCTACTCCCTCCCTCCTCACTCATGTCTCTAATAACCTAATGTTCTCACACCTCCCCCATCACATCAACCTTTTCTCCTTTCCTTCTGTCCTTTCCTGTGGCTTTGTAATAATGCCGTTCCACACCCACTGTTCCCTATAGGCTGCCCCTCTCCCTCTCTCCCTTTTTCATCATATATATTTAGTTAAGGTTGACCAGAGGGCCTGTAACGTCCATTCATCATGCTGCTCCTCACTGTTGAAGGATCCATACGTTCTGCACTTTGACAGAGGAACATAGCAGTAATGTGTGGAGTATTGTTGTGTTTTTAGTACTCTTAGAATAGAGAAGTAGAGACTGTGTTCTAAGTCAACAACTGCTGAGAGAAATGTTTTGCTGCCAACACCAGTCTAATGTTCTCCCTTTGAGATAAATGAAAAACATTTTGTGCATTTTTTTCCCGTAAAAAATGGGGAAATATGCACACCTAAAAGGAACGAAAAGTGCAGTGTGGATGAAAAAAAAAAAAAAAAACCCTTGACAGTAAAAGTACTGATGTAAAACACAGCACATCCAGTTTATGCTAATTTTGCGAACATCTTTTAAAATAGAGAAACTCAGCAAACTAAATGACATGCTGTCATGGCTGAGCGGGGAGTAATCAATTGTGTCAGACAAAAAAAAGAGGTCAATGCAGTTGTTTTCATAGAAATAGAGCTATTTTAGAAATAAAACTAAGCTGCAAAAAAGATCTCTTTTAGCACAGTTCCCCAGAGTGAGGGACTGCCAGGCCAGCAAATTGGCGTCATACCAAGTAAGAGCAACAAAGATGCAATTCTGAGTTTTCTGAGTGATGGAAAAATAAGCTGCAATATGTCATTCTGGAGTGGCAGACAAGTACATAAGGTGGTGCAAAACCTGTATAGTATGAGAATAGGGAACGGAATGGTGCTTGAAGACCCTTTTGTTTGTAAGGGACAGACTGGTCATGATGTTTGCTGATGACACTGTCATATAATAATAACATTGGACATGTTTGGACACGTACTGATGAGATAATGAATAAACAGGTTAAAGGATGGAACTGCTGGTGTAGGAGTATGAACAATGGAGTAGATTTGTTAAAATTTGATCATAGAAATTAAATTGAAGAAGTTGTGAAAATGGCTAATGACTGGATGTCGTCACTTCTGCAGATGGAAAAATTATTGGGAAGGAGAGGAAATACAGTATGTTTCAGGAATTAAAAAGCGTTTTTTTTCCTCAGTTCAGAGGCTTAAAGACTTAAGTGCCAGGCATGTGGCAGCTTATATGGCAGCAGATGGTGACATTTTATAGTTTTTTTTTTCCTTCAATTTGTCCCTGGCTGTCGTTTAAGGAGGGCGGGAGTATTCTCACTGCTTCAGGGTGCAAATGAAACAATTATCCAAGGTGAGGAGATGACACACTTTCTGGGTTATCGTTTCTATCAAATAGAATATAGGTCAATGTATCTAACAGCAGATTAGAGTGTGTGTGTGTGTGAGAGTGGTCTATGTATAGCTATACCTGTGGGGGCATTTTTTGTAAAAAGCTTTCTCGTTGGCAATGGAGTAGGGGATGCATCGTCTATGTGAAGCAACTTATGAAAATCAGACTGTGTTTGTGTGAGTGAGAGGAGAGACTGAAAAAGAGATGGAGAAACTGCCTTTTGTCACCAACTAATTGTTCTAAGCTTCATATGCTGTATGAAGTATATGTGTAGTACGTGAGTGTAGTACCTGTATGAAGTATATGTGTAGTACGTGATTTACTAGTTGTTGAGTGAAACTGCAGATATGCTGCCCCCTACCAGAATTTTCAAATTTTTCTTTTGTGCTTGATCTGTCATTATTTATGCTGAGAATTTAATTTTAATTTAGTCCATTATCTCAAATGGGGTTTTTAGCATATAATGATGGAAGTGTACAGTCCCACGGAGTGGTCGCTCAGTGCTTGGTCAGCAGTCATTCATGCCAGGACTGCAGTCATTCATCATATTATTTATGACACTCGGGTAAAAATGACCCAGCGTTTCCCCTTAGACATTTCAACAAGACGTGAGTCAGAGTGAATCCTGTTCCAATTTTCTCCTCGACATTAAATAAGCTACGACACAGCAGAAGCAGAGAAGTGCTGCTGAAACTCCAGCTAACACTGCGGCTCCACTAATGACTCACACAGCTTTACTGCTGGGCTGATTATAGCTGCAGATACAGGCAGCAGTAAACCATCATAAATCCAAGTTCAGTTTTACACTAGCACAGCAGACATATTTTGGTTTCTAACACCCTAACGTTTTAAAAATATCCACAGACTACTAGAGGAAGTGATGCACTGCATTATTCAGAACCCACTCTGTTCATTTCCTGTCCCTTTGCAGGGAATTTTGTCTGTATCTTAGGGCCTGTAGTGATACATCTGTAACACAGTCAGAAGAGGAAAGCACTGGGGAGTGTCTGGGCATGAAAAGAACTTATTTTTAAGTTTTTCTCCCAAACGTTTTATATGTAATTTCAGTACAATCTTTATAGAACAACATTTTGAAAAATCATCCTTTTCAATTGATGAATTGTTGGTTTAATCAGATAATAGATACAACTCTCAAAAATGCTTCTCCATCATAAAAGTTTGTCTTTGAATCTGTCTTTGAAGTGAAAGGTTAGTGATATTTAAAGGTTTCTTACTTTTCATACGTAGCAGTGACGAAGAAAGCGTAGACCCGCGTGTGTTTGTGATGTCGGATTTGAATGATGAGCTCCGGAATCCCCAGCCGGATATGGTTCAGTAGCCATAGTAACGTGTGGTCATCAGTAGTGTCTGTGGAAATGTAAAAATACAGATTCTAACACACCCCCGCATCGCTGTACAAAGCAGCTGCTGAAGACTCCCACGGTCTTCTACTATTATTTCCTCGGCAGCACCGGAGGTGAACAGTCAAACTCCTGAGATTGAGAAAGCTATTATACGGTGAAAAAAATAAAAAAAAATTGAGAAAGCTATTATACGGTGAAAAAAAAAATGAAATCAAATTTGAATTTAA